CCAATAACCGGCTAATCCCGTGCTTTTCGCATCACCAATCAACCAGGAAAGCAAGCAAATCAACCCTTCCACGGATTCTGATATTGGCGGATTCCACTCGCGCGTGATCTATCATCATCCACACACCAGTGAGCTTACCAAAAGTGGAAACTTTTTTTTTTTTTGTTTCTTGGAAATATAAGAATCAGGAAGAAAAAAAGAGAATGAGAATGAGAATGAAATGAGGCTAGTGCGTAGAGTACTACCAAAGGTATAGTTACAAGACTCTAGATCCGGTGCAATTCGGAATTCGGCATGACCATTTACACGAGATATACATAGTACGTACGACCTACCTAAGTATCTAATGCGCCACCGTTTCGCGTAGCACCACACACCAACATCTTGCGGAGATCGGGAAGTTACGATTCCCAGATACCTAACTGGCGAAAGAAGCACGGCGCCGCAAGAATGGTCGGGGGTTGAAGGATGTTTTGGAAGAAGAAAATAGAAAAGGCACAACCCCCCTCCCCCTTCCCTTTCCTCCGTTCGAGAAGCTGCTGTTCCCGGCGGTCCGGGACATGTTGGCACCAACGCGCGCGCTCCGTGGCTGTGCGCGGCGCCGACGGATGGATGGGTGGGTGGAGAGGTGGGTGGGCTTGCGTAAGACGGACGCCCGCTTGGGCGGTGAAGTTGACTCGAGTACACGTACTTATGTATGTGTATGTGTGTGTGGAATGGGAATAGGTACGCGCGCGCGGCGTTTTCCAGAGGGCGACGGTGTGTTTTTGTCGGGATCAACGATCGACCGGATGGGCGATGGGTGCTGAGGCTTACGCAGCCCTGCCACTACCCCTACCCCTACCATATTGTTGTGCGCCTGTCGTGCCCGGTGTTGGCCGGGTCAAGAGCGAGCGAGCGAGGCGGAGCTTGGCGTGGCAGTTAAAGTTCTTCGGACATCGCCGAGGATATGAGGACCTTGCTTTGCCTGCCTGGTTACGTTGGTATGTAGTTGCGATTATTACGGATGGGATGGGATGGGAACATCTGTCTGTTTTGGTGCCCATGGTCAGATGGTGGGGGGCTTGGGTCGTGGGGGTTCAGTCGTCCGGTCGTGTCAGACGACGGTACGAAGGAATTTTCAAGTCACTGAATGCTATCTAGATAACCGGTTCATGGGGAAATTAGATAAAATGTTCAAATTTATTGAGAGAGATTCAGTCGAGGGTACTATCTCTAACCCGCAGTCGAGCCATATTATTACCACTGTATACCCGTAGCCTTCCTAAAGGTGAAATGCCCCTCCGGACGCCATGTATGCTTGCGAGACCCCGCCGATGCTATGTGGAAATGTGAAAGATGTAATGATAATGGCGAATGATGATGATGATGATGATGATGATGATGATGATGTAGTGACTATGATGTTGACGGAGGAGAAAGAAGGAGAAAAAAAATCAGAGCCAGCAAAAACTCCGTTCCCATGCAGAATGTAGATAAACCACCTAGACCAGATGCAAAAATAATCACAACTCCTTTCCCGGCAACACGAACCGGACCTTCTTCCGCCTGGGCTTCGCAGCCGGTATGTCTATGGGTCGCGTCTTCTTCGCCCCGGAGCCCGCCGGGCCGCCGTCGTCCTCGCCGTCGAGGTCCTCGACGCTCAGCCCCATCTCGCTCATGGTCTCCTTCTCGGGCTCCTCGTCGATGTCCCAGACGTCCGGGCTGGGCTCGCGCCACGAGTGCCGCCGCTGCAGCGTGCGGGACGCCGCCCTGCCGCGGATGGGGTTCCGCGGAGGCGGCGCGAAGCGCTTGGCCAGGCGGCCCCCGGGCGACCCGACGTGGAACGAGGACGGCGACAGCAAGGCCTCGTTGGACCGAGACGGGGCGTGCTTGGGGGAGCCGTGTCCGGGGTGGCCAAGGCGGTAGTCGTCGCCGAAGCCGAATGGACGTGGCTTCTGGGAGGTGAAGCGTATGTAGTCCTCATCGTCGTCCTCGTCGTCCTCGTCATCGTCCAGTATAGCACAGTCTGCTTCTTTCTTGGCCTTGTACCGTCTGAGGCCGTCGAGCGTCGAGGGGCTGACGCTCCGGACGATGTGACGGGGGTTGTTCGAGTCCTCGATGCCCGCATCGAAGTCGAACTCGAACTCCAGCTCCTCATCGCCCGGGGTCGCGGGCGTCAGGAAGTATTTGAGGGGGTTCTCTGTCCTCGAAGAGAGGTCGATGTCTTCATCATCTGTGGAGAGGCCGTCCTTGTCCTCGTCGAGTGCCGGGGGCATCCGGCTTGGGCTTGAAGGCCAATATGTGTTGGGGGGCCATGACTGCCGGTGCACTACATTCAGCGCATCCGACGGTAAGAGAGGCATGTCGTCGGTTGATAATATAGTAGAGCTCAGTAGAGCAAGGGTCCTTGATAACGATAGGTAGGCTCCCAAGCGAGCATCTCAAGCCCAAACACTTGAGCGGCTCACGGCTGGAAAGAGAGAGAGGCCACACTCTCCTTGGAAACTGGACCTCTTGAATGGTGCCGGGCCAAAGCCGGCTCAAGAGAAATGGGCGTAGTGAAAACGACGGGCGGAAAGCAGTCGAAATGCCGAGTCAAAAGAGACAGACAGGTAGAGTCAGAGCAGTAAGAACGAAAGGCGACATGGCAGCGGAGGCCAGATATATATATGATATAAGAACCCAGTACAGGCAGAAGCAAAGCAGTTGTCGGAGAAGTGGCTGGTGCCCGGTTAGTCACCTGTTGATCTACGGAGCTGCCTTGTGGGTTAGCAGGCAAATGCGATGGGTGGTGGTCATCCCGGTCACTCAGCTGCCCCGAAAGGGTACGGTATCCCAGAATACCCACCCCCCACAGACCAACGGCGCCATGGCGTCTGTTGCGGATGAGTACATACTTGGACTTGTAGTACTGCCGTGAATCACCCACAGGGCGCAGGGCACGAAGACTCACACGTCTTGGAGCGCTTGTTGGACCGGGAGGAGAGGGGAGGGGAGGGATGGAGATAGCACTGACAGTTTCCCAAAGCGGAATCGGGCATGGCAAAGATGGTGTGCGGCCCAGAAGGGAAAACCGGGTGAGGAAGAGCGTGGAGGGCAGGTATACGAGCGCGCGCGCACCGAGTTTGCCGGCGCCCTCCTCCCCCAGCAGTATCGAGTACCTACAAGCTGCTCGTACTCGGTACATGGTAAACCTGCCTGTGTACTATGTATGCAACCCATCGCCCTGCGTTACCTGGGCAGCTCATAGCAGGTTCCCCCACACTCGTCCCCTCCCCGTTGCGTCGCTCACCACCCTTGGTGCGTCTTGTCACGGAGGCATCTGACATGGCCGCACACCCTCCTGGGGCGCTATATCCCGTAGTCCCGACGTAATATGCGTCCTGTATGCGACGCTGGTGAGGCTCGTGAGCCCTCGTATCATTCGCTGCTGTCTCACTGAGCCGATCGCAATGCACAGCCAGGGATCGGGATTGCGCATCGCTGCACAGCGCGCGCCCGCTCGCCTCCCCCCCTCGTTGTACCTTGCATGAGTTAGTTGGGTGCGCGAGAGACGCTGGGCCCTTTGCACACAGATTCAACATGCAAACATGCATGCATGCACGCGCATTGGTACTGCCGGTTGGCGTGATGCGCGCGACCAGAGGGATTCCAAGAATTTTCCGACCAACACAGCCCGGCTACTGCGGTTACGATTAGGTAGTCCATGGAGGATGTATGTATGTACTGCATGTGTATACACATACCTGGCCTACTTACCTACATATATTACTTAGTAGATGTACATGGTAGTACTCGTGTGAGCAATGCTATACAAAGGAACATAGGCAGGTATTTTTGATCTGTACGCTGGCGCGCCGATGAACCATGTCGGTAACGCGTTCCAAGAACCGGTACCGACGTGGAACTAGGAGAAGAGGATGACCTGTTAGTCTGATATGGAAACAAGAAATGGTCCAAGGCTACGGCGCTACTGGGTATAGGTAATCGCCATCCAGCAGGAGTGTTCAAGCCTCGAGATGGAGGCGGCGTGCTGGCTTCGCGAAAACACATTGGCTGGCTGTGCGGACATCGCTCCGCATCGTCTTCGGAGTGCGACTCGTCCGAACTTCGCATCTATCTACCTGTCTACCTACCTACCTCTACCCGGTTATCTATCGCATCAATCGCGGGGAATGCATACTACGTAGTTACGTACGCGACCATCCGCTACCACTTACATAGACTTATCTGGTATATGCACGCACTCACCTCGGTCGGTGTGACTGGGGCAAGCCAGCCCCAACACAAATGTAACCGTGAAAAGAGGACATTTATCCATCTAGGGAGTGGGTGGGCACTTGATTTGAGCGCTTCGACAGGCCTCAGGTGACGGATGCTTATCAATGACCCCATGGTGCCATGATGCCATTGCAACCCAAGGCAGCGGATGGGAGGCGTCGACGGTGAACGGTGAGTGGCTCACCGGGAGGATCCGGGAGTCTAAATAGCAATTGGGCCCGTTGACTCGACGCCCGCATGCATGAGGGCTTGGAGTTATTGGGAGCAACACTCGTATTTTTACCTGCACATACTACACCACTGCCGGCATGCGCACGACGGGATGCAGAGGGGCTTGCGTGCTCTGTTGCGGGGGTGGTTGGTTTCGCGACACCACGCACGATTTGAGTCTTGATCTCCTGCTTGCCGGCCTGGCGCATGCATGCACGCATAGAATAAGCACAGATCCATCTCAACCCTCGATCTTAGTACAATAGGGTAGGGTAGCTAAGGTTAGTTAGTAGTACCTTTTACTTAGATAGAGCATACTTGAAAAACTTACCTACTATCTACGGAGCAGGCAGGTGGTAGAAGAATTGGATGGATATGGGCCGTGACTCGTTTGATTCGAGGCCGTGTGGGTTTGCCGCACACACACCAAACACCAAACTACCTAACCCGGAGCAAAGACTCCCCAAATCCTGTTTTAGCGGGCGAAGAATCCACAACAGGAAGAGCTCGTCTCTCTCCTCTCCCACGGGCTTGTGGTTTAGTGGTATAATACTCCCTTAGCATCAACGACGAGCCCTCCTCTCTTCGAGAGAGAGAGAGTTCACGAGAGAGACTGGGAGTGGTCCGGGGTTCGATTCCCCGCGAGTCCAACTCTAAGTGGTTCAATTCCACCCATTCATTATATACCCTCGATTTTCTTTCCGAATTGGTGTAGTGGCTAACATTTGACGCTCTCAAAACCCTACGGGTGCGGGTGCCGTCAAGCCCGGGGTTCGATTCCCCGATTCGGAGTTCCATCTGCTTTATCATCTTTTTTTCTCTCTCTCTCTCTCCATATCTTTTGGTAATGGTGTTGTTATAAAGGAGGGCTATTAGGGTGAGGGCCGAGATAAAATACTTCTCTTCCCACCCTTTGTGCGGGTGGTGGAAATCAGACGAATACTTGTATGTGGTGTTGGGTGTGCCTTGTCCCACGCTGCGTACATAGGCGGGGGTTACAGAATACGCAAATGCACCGGGCCGTTCCTTGGCTCCTAGATAGCATACTCCGTACAGCTCTGGGAAATACATGTTTTCCTTGCAGATTGTTAGTTTGCTTTGTCGATCTTTGCCCCTCACGACTATCAAGGACATGCAAATTGGCGGGTACCGAAGTGTCATGTCGACTCGACAGTCCACTCACCCGTACATACCTTATGTACGGGTTGGCTTGGCTATTCGGATTTCTGGAAGTTCTTTTAAGGTTTTGAAACATCTTCGCGGATCATCTGCGCGGATCAGTATGTTTGTCGATCAGTAATTCGGCTCAGCCCGCACCGGCTCGGGATTGGGAGATCTGTCTGAAAGCCATGCTTGCACGTACTGATGATAGATAACCTGCGTCTTTCCTCCACCCTCCATGGTTACTGCTACCTAGATTTGGTAGGTAGATAGTAGACAGATGCCCTGGTAGAACGAACGGCAACCAGCCCTATCCTAGGACGCGGCAACACAAACTCACGGAGCAAATTCCACGAGGAGCATATGTCACGTGAAATCTGCCACCACGTGAGGCGGAATTGTATTATACATGGCCAATCATACTGTTGAGACGACGCGGAGTCAAACAGGAGGTGGCTGCCCCCGCAAGCAAGACGAATCCCCATGAAGGTCCCCGGGGCACCGGCATCGATCCCACTCCCATCAAGTGCCCCCGGTGCGGTCATGCTACCATCATTATTTCCGAAGGGGGCTGTACTTTCTCACGCAGATTTTTGCGCGACGAAACCCCTGACTGCTGTCGCGACCAACATAGTCACGATTCCCCCTTCTGCTGGGAGCGGACTCCCATTTTCGAACGCGCGGCTGTCCCCGTGTAGCTGAATATGCTATGACGTCGGTGAACCAGACTCGGCCACATCTTGGGACCAGTGACAGTCTCTTCCGTCCTGTTTACGTACTACATATTGCACATGGTCGGATCTTGGGGCGCTGAGATCCACTGGGCTGGGACCCTATCCAACTAATAAGTATCCAGGTTCCGTCCGGCATCCTAAGTAGCCTTCGCGACTGGGGCCGTTGACCAATCGTCGTCAGCAGTTCACTGTGGTTGTGAAAAAGAAAAACAAGCGGCCAGTCGGCTGATCCGTAGACTGTTCAAGACCAGGGCGAGTAGGTGTTGTGGTATACCGAGGTCATTACGAGAAACAATTCCTAGTCTTCGCGCTAAATACATCATCGGAATACGCCGCAAAGCCTCATCGAGTACCTTCATTATTGCCATTGCTGTTTAACGATGTTCTCCGACTTTACTGTCTCCATTCAGCTTTGTGATAAGGCTATGACCGATCAAGACGTATTGCCGCCTCGCCTTAACAGCTATTGAGGAAGACACCATCAAGTGCCATCAAGTGCCATCAAATTTGAGTGCTGGGTACGGGCCAGGCATCCCCCCTCCTCCCTTATCCCTTTCCTGCAATAATGCCGGTCAATGCTGGCCCGGCTTATCAAATCTTGCATCGCTAACACTAGTCTGTGCATATCGCGCTTTACTCTTCCCTCGGCACATAACGACAGATTACTTTGAGTGTGGGCATAGAGCTTGGCTAATTAAATGTCTTTCCTACCTACTTTTATCTATTTAACGATATCTTTTTGTAAAGCCCCGATATGTGTAACAAGGGCTCGTATGGAGGGCTTAGAAAGGTAGTATTTTATTCATACGATAATCAACTATGGAGTCAAGGTAACCTGTGTAAAAATCTATCTCTTGGTTCTTCGCGAGAGGATTTAGCTTAGTTCTAATACTCTGAATAGCCTTATGTTCTTCGCTAGGTATTTCCTTTTTTAAGCTAGTGTTTAAGACCTTCGCTTAGAACCTCCGACCTCCAGTCACCTTACCTAAGGCTATATTTATAAGCCAGTTAAGGAGGTTGAAATCTTCTTGTCTAGACAATGCCTTGTGTGTGTCACGTTTTCATTGATGGAAGATACCGTACTAGAAAATTGAGTATCAACTCTGCTCCGCGTAAACTCTCACGCCAGTTATTTTTGGGGAGGGCTGTACCCACGCATCTAAGAGACCAAGTAAATAGCAACGGTCGCATGGTGAACCAATAACGAAAATTGAAGGGCATTTTACTTCATTAAATGATCAGGCAATTCAAGTGTGTGTTGTCAGGGTCTTGGGTCACAGATGGGACGAAGCGACTCACTAGCTAAGGGTAGCGCATGACTGTGTATATAAGGGAGCGAAACCCTAACGTGTGAAAGGGAGGTTCAGGAATCAATACGACTGAGCCTTTCTACCTACATTCTACCTACTGGCGACATACTTGCGTGACTACTTCACTCCGAAGACGAAGCTGTCTGACATGTGTGTTCTGCGTGTCCCCCCCCCCCCCCCCCCCTACTCACTTGTGAATAGAAAGCAGCGCAAGCAATAGTAAAATTATAGCTATGCTGAACATAGCGTATATCTTCCCAACACGGTGCCTCGTATATCACCCTCTCCTAGAGTATAGCTTCTATCATGTTCGGATAAAATCTAGTAAAATTGCGCTCAATCTTTTTTAAAAAAAAATCACCTAGATACTCAGAACACTCGAAACTCGCAAGTAGGGTGACTAGTTGGACTGCTGCAGTAAATTTTAACAACTACAATAGTAATACCAAATCAAAATATGTAGTTCGTCCATTTCCCATTGCTAAAGAACGCTGGACGGGTAACTAAGTTGCATACACTCCCGCATTAAGTACTTAGACATGTAGCACACAAACCTGCAATGCAGTAAAGCCACGAGGTCTGCCCGCGTTAAGCAACGTTACCACCATCACCGTGTTCTATGACCAACGGGTAGGCTAGCGCCGCACACGTCTCTAGGATAGCCCCCTGAAACGGCTCGTTTTGCCGCGTCCTCGCGTGAGGAAGGTCCTCCGTTACTTTACATTCTCTACCTCCCGTAAAGGGGTCAGATTTTCAGTGGTGATCGAGAGGTTTTTTACTGCCTACCTGTTCTTCGGACTAGTGAATAACCTCCCCTAGGCCTATTAAAGGAGTGAGCATAATTAAGGGTTGAATATAAGCAGCTATTCCAGGCCAGGTCGCGGGTGGGCGGCCTGAGAAGCGCGTCGTCTAGTAGGGCTCAGCGCTCTCCAATACAGCGCTCCAACCAATTCCTTCTCTTCTACGCGTAGCTTGTTGTGTGAATAGAAACTATATATAACGACTATCGATAGCTAGACTTGATAGACAGCTCGTGCTATCCCTGGATAGGCTTTTACTATAATTCTCCGTATTGTCTTTCCATTAGTAATATTATAGCACCTCCGGCATATAATTCTAATAGCGTCGCGCAAGCGTTTATAAAATATCGGCAAAGTGCCACAGCAGATTATAACCTTACTTTTCATAGGTTTCGGCGGTTGAAAATTATGCACCTCCTTAACCGCCGCTTCCTTGGAGGCGAAATCGCTGCTGTGGACTATGTTATTTACCAGGCTGGTCTCAGTTTGGGCCTTAACACGTCCACTTCAAATCGGCTTAGCTTACAATATAATAAGAGTAATGCATATGTTCCCAAGATAGAGTAATTAATTACACAAGAGGTGATATTAACTCCGTAGTTTTGCTTAAAGAATATAGTTCGTCGTTATACAGGTAACTTATGTACGAAGAGCAGTAAGCTAATTAGACAACATACTAAATAACACTCTTATCGCTTTTAACCACATTATAAGTATAAAGACGGTTCCTGTCTTGGACAATGAAGAACAGTCTAGTCTGCAGACAGAGCTTAGTCTGTTTGAAATTTATAAAACGTAACTTGTTCAAACAGACCTTGGCATTCGAACCTAAACAAACCCCTTCTAACGCCGCCTGCAGATATACCTGCGTGCTTTTCGATATTAGCGGCTATTGAAAGGCTATTAGGACAGCTTAGAGCCACCTAAGTTAATTCAAACAGGCCAGTAGTCTTACCAAAATACCACGCTACTAGCGGAAGTTACCGGGCGTGTTATTACGGTAGTCGTTATTTGTGTTTTTTTTACTGTCCCGCTGGCCCTTATAGTAGACTAATTTAGGAATATCCAGATCACCGTCCTTTCTGTCTTTATTGTGGCGTTTTCTGTCATCGTTACTGCTATGTTGAAAGCTTCTAACTTGGAGATAATGGTGGTATCTGCTGCGTAAGACGCAAGTGCTGGCTAATGTACACAAACCATGGTAAATAAGTACTGCGGTGCATGGCTTCGAGGGGGACAAGGGATGGTGAGTCAGGGACGCCCTGGGATTCAATTAGTCACGATATGCTCTCACACTCACTATTTCATAGAAAGACCATTTTCATTGAATATTAAAAAACAAAACGTGCCGCCGTATTAGTTAAGCGAACGAGAAAGGTTTCTTGTGATAATAGTGCCTATTAAGTTAGTTAAATACATGAAAGCTGATACCTTAACACATCTCGCTTCTTTCAAGAGACGTCATCTGTAGCACTTCGCAGCCTGCATCGCACCGCCAACTAAGTACCTAGTTAGGATTCAGAAAACCACCTGATTTCCCCCTTCCATCTTCGCGTGATTGGCCTTCCCTGTTACCCCCATTGGCTAGATCTAGTACTACCCCGCCATTCCTCATATTGTACCCCTTTTCACTTAGACATTAAGC